AAAAAAAAAAAAAAAAAAAAAAAAAAAAAAAAAAAAAAAAAAAAAAAAAGAAAAATTGTTCGTTTAATTTTAACGAAGAATATTTCTTTCTGAATTTGTGTGAATATTTCTAACTTTTTTATTTTTTTGTTTACTCACCAGGATCGAAGTCAGTCCCTCCAGCATCCATGCCACCTGGATTTCCATATCCTAAAAAATAAAAATTATTATTAATAATAGTCACAAACAAAATGATTACCAGAGTGGCATTTACACGAAATAAATAATAAAAATGTTCCGATTATCAACCATAGATACCAAAAATATGCGCTTTACAAATTACAAAACGTACACTAGATAGCGTTTACATCGTAATAACCTATTACGAAGGCCGTCCTAAAATCACAAAAACTCAAACTTACACATTGAATATCTATCCTGAATCGTACGAATATCATGAAAACAAACTAATGTATTGTCACATCAAAAGCACAACAAACCTAACCTAACCAAACAAACGGAATATGAAAGCAGGTCGACACCGTATTCACGACATTTTGAAATCCTATGTCTGAGAGACCAAAGTGAAAAACATAATCCTGAATCATGTTGAAAGAACAGAACTTTCTATGCAAATCGTGCTATTCAACAATAACAATAATATTTTCACGAATGATATTCTTAAACAATATGTGAACTGTTTCGCTATTGTTAAGCATCATTAATCGCTAAAATCAAGGTTAGAATGACATCATTGTTAAGACAGTCAATACTGCTTGGAAGCATTACTGTTGTAATACTATTTAATTATTGACAAACATTCATACCGTTGTTTCGTGTGCCGTCTATAAGAAGCATTATATAATTTTACACGTTATCAACGATGATTACATTGACTAACAATAAGTTTACTGCCTTTCTTCCCGAAGCCACGCGTACGTGCTCGATTTCAACAAGTATACTTATAAGAGCAATCGTGTCGAATATGCATGTCCAAATATTGATTGACACCCCGTGTCTCCTATGGAATATTTGTATTCTGTGATCGGTGTTTGTTCAGGCGTCGAACGCAACACGGTTAATTTCGATTCTCCGACGAACGAGCGATTATCGCGGTATGCATCGATCGAGCATTTTTCAACGATAATCGAATTACTGGCATCACTAGGCCGAGATAGATACACGCCGTGGTCGTTTCGTTTCGAGGCCAAGAGCCAGCTACTTCTGGAGTGGGGATGCGCCTACGGCACGTGTGAAATTTACGCGAATCGTGGCTAGACATAGTTCCTTCGTTTTGCGTGTGCGCGCCTGTCAACGTGTATGTATGCATGTGTTTGTTGTTAGCCTTCATGGTATGAGGTTGCGTGTGTCGCATGCGTGTGTGCTAGATAGGTGGATCGGCGTGTTACATCACGCGTTCACCCGGGACTATTCCGGTTGTCTGGTCGAGCGCGGTCAGGGTGCCTGTCACACGGAACTGACAACAGAGGACAGTTCCTCGTGAGCGCGACTTTCAAACGAAACACTTGGGAGAAACAACAGTCATGATGCACGAAAGTCACGCTTCCAGGTCACGCTACTTTCAGAATTTAATTACAATTAATTCAGAATTAATTTCGAATTAGAATTTACAATCAACTTATTTGTGTTCATAAATCTTTTTTTCAGAAATTGCATTGGCTAATTCTCGAGTAAAAAGATGATAGAATTTAGAAAAGATAAAGTTGAAGATCATTTTGCGAGAGACTGAAATATCGTTAGTTGCAAATGTTCAATTCGCGAGTGCTGTAAACGTGGAAAAAAAGAGAAAGGAAGAAAAAAACAGAAAAGAAAAAAGGGGGAGGGGAAATTAAAAGCACAAAGCAGGAAAAGAGAGAAGAAAAAAAAAATATATATATATATATATATGTATATATATGCGTATGTGGACACGCATATGTGAATATATATGCGTGTGTACATACGAAGGAAAGATAACAAAAAAGAGAGAGAAACGACGTGGTACGGGGCGTGAGGTAAAGAGGGAGCCAGAGGGAAAGACAGAGACAGAGTGGTTGAATGTGAGAAAGAGAAGGAAACGCAACGAGAGGAAGGGAGATAGAGAGAGTAAGTCGAAGGAAGAAAGAGGACAGGGTTTGTCTCTCGGCCGATACGCGACCGGCCATCTTGGATCCTGGGTATCGTTGAAAAATAGCAATTCTTTTCGGCGGTTGACAGAACGCCACGAGGGCTGAAAGGAACGATCGGACGTGTGCGACTCGACGATGCTCAGAGACCGTGCGCGAAGTAACGGATCGAGTCAACCGCGACCCGGAGGTCGTTGCGTTTGCTCATGGAAAAAGAGACGGTCCTGGTAACCGGAGGCGCAGCACACGGTGCTACAGGCAGAAAGATGTCGACGGTCGCGCACATTTACAACACGTTATTGGAAATCGTGACCAATACGGAACATGTTAAACACCCGTACACCGAGGATCGTACGATCCTTCATCATCCTTACTTTGCGGTTGATCGTCCAGACTTTCCCGGTCAGACATTGCTCTTTAACGCGGTCTCTCTCTCTTCGGTTACACGCGTCGTCCCTCGACGTCTCGGCAACAGGCCCCAAGACGACCAAAAATCCCCCGCACTGTCCGTGGCGCGACCCCGATATATCACCACTAACCAGCCAGCTCACCACAACCCAGCACACCACTTACGAATTTTTCACTTCTTCACACACCACGGTCCGACCGCCGACCGACCGTCCGTCCACGGCACCAGTCGTCACCACCACCACCACACGCTCGTACGCTCGCTCTACACCGTTCCACGCTCGCTGGCCCGACTCGCGCTCGCCCTCACTCGCTCGTTTCTTCGTCTTTCACTCTCGCTCCACCTCCGAACCCCGTCGCGGTGCGAGAGAGTGAGATACCGCTACACTTACTCTATGCGAACGCACACACACCTGACCTTTCGTCGTGTGACCTGCGCGTGTCCATCTATATAAGACTGCCTCATAGCCACGACACAATCCATTATATTTCTCTTTCTTCCATTAACTGCAACGCCGCTCTATCTCGCTCTTTTCCTCCTTTGCTCTTTTTAGCGGTTCCTATCGCTTTGTCTTTGTTTAGCAAACTGCACGAGCTACTCGTACGAGCGAGTGATGGCAGCACTCGCTCGTATCTCGCTTCGTATCGTATCGTATCGTATCGTATCGCGTTTACGTCCATCTTGTGTTCGAGATATCGAACCAACTTGGTGGCGCTGCTGTAAGTTAACGTTTAGCCGATTGGTTCGTTCTGCGCGTGCGTATCTGTATGTAATTTTTTGAAGTCGAACGTTACATTTGTGTGAATATTAATAATTTATATACACAGTAGAATGTTATTGTTTGAATTTATACAAATTTTCTGTTTTTTTCGTGTACATCGACGCACTGATTTAAGCTGTCTACGCTGAAGTGGATTTCAAGAAACTGTTTGTATGTATGCCATATAATTCTGTCTTATCTTTTAACAATACGTTACAATTGCGTTTGCAATTTGCGTCAGTACCGTCTTTTAAAAAAAATATATTTTGCAGATATTATATACACACAGTCGGGACGAATCAGGAATTTCGTAAGTTAATTGAAACATTTTATTCATTATTTTTTAAGCAAAAACACAACAAAATTCAAGTACATTTATTCCTTACACGTTTAATTCAACTAAAATGTAAGTATACGATAACATGTCTCGTGTAAGATGCAATGTTAATGCTTACATGCTTATGAACGTATGCACATCAGTTGTAAATACTTGATGAACATGTTAGTTAATGTATGAAAAAATCAATGTATCCGTTTTGTATGCATGCCTGGATAAAATCACCATCACAATTATCATCATCCTCATCATCGTTATCATCATAATCATCATCATTTTCATCACCATCATCATTATTATTATCATCGTAATCGTTATGGAACTTAACAATAGCTCCGTATCGTCGTTTTTCGATTTCAAAAAATTTCAACTGTTACATAAATCACTCGATAGCCCTTACTCTCTCATCGAGGAGAATGCTTTGAAATGGTTACAAAAATGGTAGCCGCGGAATAAGGCACACAATTGATGCAACGCGTATTTAATATAGCGATATATTTATATTTAATGTAACTGGATGTCAATGAATTTTTATCAGTATATGGATCGTCCTGGATATTGTGTGTTTACGTATATGATGTCTAAGGAATCTAAAGCTTCGCAGGAACGATTGTGCCTATATCGCTGTTGTGATAATAGTTTTATTATTATTATTATTACCAATATCTTTAACACTATCATTATCATTAATGTTAATATTATTATTATACTTGATGTTACTAATGTCTGGATGATCAGTAGTTTGTATATACAGGTATCTTTGAGGTATGTTTTGCCTTATGATATGGGGTATATATATATATATATGTATGTATGTATATATATATATACATATGTATATATATATATATGTATTTTTTTTTCACGAACCGTCTATCGAACAACTTACATAATATGCAAACTGAGGTATTCAATCTACTTGATACAATTCAACTAAAGCATGAACTATGTCGTAACAAGTGCAATTTCCATATTGTGTACATTTATGTGTATGAGTAAAATGTGTTCTCCTATTTCAAATTCGAAATGTTTATCATGAAACAACATGCTTCACCTTACTCTTTTTATTTGTTCAACGAAAACCAATAGAATTCTTCCCGTTAGTTCTATCTATATACATCTTACATTAGTTCGTACGATAACATAGCTACGATACAGTTAAATAGTTTGCCTCTTCACCAATCCATCTCATCTCGAATAACTATATTCTTTGTAGCCTAATTCATTGTTACTGCATCCTTTATGACTGTCGTAATATTTATCTAAAGCGTAACTCGATTACTGAATCGTCCTTGAATTCTCCAAATGTACGACTTTTGCTTACTTAGGAATTTTTTTTCTAAATGATCAGTGCACATCATGGTTTTAGAACTCTTAACATTATAACTTGCACGTGAGCAATTGCAAGTTCTCTAAGCGAAAGGCCATCTAACGTGATGCGTGGAACGATACTTGATGTTCTCTTTTTTTTTTTTTTTAACTTTTCATCTTTTACAATTTATATTCCGGAATAAGTTCTGTAAAAAATATGTTTTAGTTACTTTGATGTAATATAATTCGTGTGTGTGTGTGTGTGTTCGCACGCGCGCGCGTGCACGAGCGCGAGTGCGTAATACTTATAAAGTATTAGAACAAGAACAGAAACAACAACGTGTCTTTTGTATTATTACAGTATGTTTTGATCATATTATTATTTTTTTTTGTTTTTGTTGTTTTACTCTATTTCATAGAGCTCAGACTTCACAATTCATGGTATTTATACAATTCAGAAAACCGATTATTTGAATCTTAATAAGCTCGATTCATTTTAAACGATATACCATATATAACGAACTTTTTTCATTGGTACATTTTAAAGAACGAAAGAAAAAGAAGATGAATGAATATGAAAAAGAAACAAAAAGAAAAAAAAAAGGAATATGTGCACCAAATTACATATTGACAATAAGGTCGAAAATATTATATGTATAAGTAATATATGCTCTCTCATGGATATAACATCTCAACGAAACTTATCTGTGAAACACGATTTGCGAGAGCGACTTCTTAAAAGCTATTTACAAAAATGATTAGCGATAGGCTTTTATTACATTATCAGCTGCCTTTGAGCATGCCTCCAACTTTCGAATGAACTTCCGAATGTCGATCCACAGGGTTGTTTCTTTTCGTTTCTCTTGTCTTTCGATAGTTCGCTCGATGCAATTACAGAACGCATAATAATAATAATAATAATAATAATAATAATAACAACAACAATAACAACAACAACAATAATAATAATAATGAAAAACATAATGATAAATAGATGGATACACGCGTTTTCCATCAGAACGAGTACGTGATATACATACACATATATATATATAGAGAGAGACAGATAGATATATGTGTTTATATATATATAAATCAGTAAATAGTACAACGTCAGAGGCTTATGATATTTAGAAAAGGACGGCCTTGACATCAGTACTTTAAAAACGTCCCTGTGGAGGTGTACGCTTATAACGAGGCTTTCGATAAAAATACTCGCAAAATCATTGAATCTGGCAACAAACCGCCTTGCATGGTATTGGGGTCTCGCCTTCCTGGCCGTACAACGTTCGTGATTTGAAAACTTTCGAATCGATCGCTAGAAACGGAGAGTTCCCGGTGTAACAGCTTTCGTACACTTCGAAAGCTTCGTCGATTGGGACGCTACTTTTGTCTCCAGCGAGCTCCTTCCTCTGCGGTGGAATCTCATCCTTCTGTTCAGACATATTTGGCACTGATTTCGACGACGTTGGTGGATCTGTCTTTAAGCTGATCTCCTCGATACTAGTAGCGCTCTCGCGTGCCAATCGATAGTATTTCTGCACGTAGTCGACGTTAACCTGTTCGACTTCGATGGTATCGTCCTCCGCAGCCTCTCCGTCGCATAGTATTCCCTCACTTTGCAACATCCTCTTTGGAGTAACCAGAGGCTCGATGATTTCAGCTTCCCAGCATTCTAACACGTCAGGCTCTTCTATGCTGTCCAAGGAACCTATCCCGCTACCACTTTCTTCATCCTCGATGCTGCTGCTCCTCTTCCGTTCTTCCTCCATCTTCCTCTCCATCGACTGTTGTTTGGTCATTTCATTCTTGTTAAGGGCTTTGATCGCCGTTGGAGCGTCGTGACAATTTCGCAGACTCGGCTCGTACGTGGAAGACGTTAACAACTTTCCATCCTCCGAGACCACGATCTCGCCTTTCTCGAACGTTTTCACGTTCATCGTGTCCTCGACAATCCCTTCGTCATTCTCGTCATCCACGTCCTCTATACGTCGAATCCTCGCGTCGATATTATTCGAGGGATTCCGCGAATGCGATTTCCCTTGTCTTTTCGTTCGCCTTGCATTGACTCTCTTCGAGTCCATCCGAGAGCTTAAAGCAACCCTCATACCCGCAATGCTATCCTTTTCAGTAAATTCGCAAATGTCACCAACAACATCTTGCTGCTGTTGCTTAGCCAGATTCTTCCTCCTCGCGATGTTCACCAAGATCTCCTGTTGGCCGCAAGAATCTGACGAGGACACCACCTCGTGGTCCACCCTGTCATCCACCACGTGCCTGGCTACTCGTCTCCGTTCCTCCGACCTTTTCTTCGCGTCTTTCTTTCTTCTTGAAGCACCACTGTTGTTGCTACTACCATCCAGCTGTTGTTGTTGTTGTTGTTGTTGTTGTTCTTGTCCACCCTTGATGTTGCTGATCCCTGCGAATTCCCCGCAGTTAGCCGCGCGCGACAATGTCGCATTGTCCGCACCGCTATTAACAGATAGTGCAGGCATGGGGTTGCCTTGCAAGTTTTTTGGCGGCTCTTCGTCCATATCGTCCTCGTCCTCCTCGCAATCCATCGAGATGGCCGACGTGATGAACAAATCTGGCGACTTCTCCCTCCGTAGCCACTCCGTCACCGCTTCCGTGATCGGATAATCAGACAGCTGCGTCTGACTTTCAAACCCAGAATCTTCGTTCGTCGCCTCGATCACCTCTTTACTCACGCGACTGCACATTGCTGCCTTCATTCCGAATTTACTCGATACCTGATCATCCTTTATCACTTTATCGTCACAAACATCGACAAACTTCGAGTCTATCGTCTTCGTATCGTCGTTCGACAGATCGATCTTCTCCAAACCCTGAGTCAGATCATGTACATTCGTTTCACTCTCTGGCTCCGTCGAACTGTTCAGATCCGGACCGGGTGTCGGTTCCCTCACGAACTTCGTGCCTTTCGCGGTGTACTTCCTTTTCGACAGACTCGTCGACGACGATGACTTACTGTTCGATAAAGACTCGTGATTCTGGTCCTCGCGAATCGCTACGTTCTCCACGTTCTTCGGCGTGATCGATCTGGACCTCGTCGTTTCGTCGTTGGACACCGGAGACGATGGCCTCGGCGGCGTCGTTGACGACGACGACGCGTCCTTGTTGCTCGAATCGGATCGATCCACCTTTCTGTTGACCAAGATTTCTTCGTTCATCTTCTCGTTGTTCGGTCGTTCGTGTAGCTCGTTGGCACTCGATGAATCGTTATTCGCTGCTTTGTAGGTAATGCTTGGCAGTTTCTCGACCTCGGTCGCCTGGCTCGCGACCTCGTTCGTCGAAAGAGCTGTCTCCTTGTCCTCGGGGAGGCAGTTTATCAGTCTATTCGATTCGTTATCCGAATTGCTGGTCACCTCCAGCGATCTCGATTGACTGTTCTCTATTAAGGTCGACGTCGGTTCTAATTGTTGATCAGACTTGCTGTTATCAGTCAGTTCGTCGTCTTGGTTCTTCCAGTCGTCGGACACGACACCGTTGCATACCTCGTTGGCCTCGTTGTCGATGGTCGCCGAGCTCGTTTCGGACGTAAGCGTGCTGTTGGTGGAGGTTGGAATAGCGGATAGAGAGGTATGAGATTTAACGACTTGTCGCAGCTGGAACTCCTGACACTCGGGGTTCAGCGGCCGATTGCTGATCGTTGTCGTGGTCGTGGTTGTGGTCGAAGTTGAACACGCTGTCCAAGACAGTCGGGAAGACGGTAGACCGGTATCACACTCGGAGCTGTATTCTCCTTCCTCCTCGTCCTCCGTATTACCCTGTATTTTGACAACAATTGCTCAATTAGTCGCTGATCGGTAACAAACTAACTATTTTACTAAATTCTCTCTTTCTCTCAACCAAGTCTTTCAGATTGATTTTTCAATCAATGACAGTCGGAAAAGTCCGCCTGTCCAACTGTGTCACTAACTCACCGTAGCAAGTCTTCTCTGCTTCCTTCTCTTTTTTTTCTTTCTTCGCTTGGCATAGGCCGCCGACATGGCTGCAACGTCTGTGGTTCTGATCATGGGCCCGCCCTGTATCGTAACACCTTGGACAACAGAAACATCGCCGATTAAACCTTGGCTTTTTATATCGACAAACGCCGCCGCTCGTCAGTTACAAAGTTCAACGAAACGTGTGCCTTTGTAGAAACTTTCACCCCTAGGTGAAATTCCACCTGAGGATCGAACAGGTGGAAAATTCGAGGAGGTAGTCGACAATAACGCGAGTCGAAGGGGCGCGGATACTGAGCTTGGCTTCTCCATCGTTTCCTCGTGGATAAGCCCCACGGGACCGACGGACAGTTATTTTAAATCGTTTCTATTTAAGACGCAGCCAGCGATACTTAGATCTTTCTGCCAAAGCCGTGAGATCTCGCGATGCATCGCCAGTGAGGGAACGACACTGCAGAAAAGTGCAAGACAAACGAAAATTGCATTTATTTATTTACTTTCTCACGCTCATAACTACGGCAATATTATTCATCGATGCTGATGAAATCGCAAGAGAACAAAGAAGAAAGAACGAACAGAATCTCTTAAACTTGTTTGAATCTGATTTTTCACAATGCAGTTGAACGAATTGAACATTTTTCAAAGAGCTCAAGAGACTGTTTCGTTTGCGATTTCTCATTAACCGAGGTCAAAGAGTAATATTTCACGTAGTTCACGTTAATAACGTCGATGGCTTGTGTACAACATACGGCCGTGTCATCCCTATCGTGACGAATATACACACGATTTTCTTATGAACCAATGGTTGCCCGTGAATTATGCCCGGGGATATGAAATACGTGTCTGAAATGCCTGTTTCTCATGTGCGACGTGCGAGCGTGTCGATGCAGGCGATGGCGTTTTAACGAAGACGAGATATCTTTATATATAATTTATATATATGACGGTGAAATACGAACATTCAGATGGCGAGAATCGTGACGATTAGGAGAACGTAGTAATATGCAAGAGAACACACACATACGAGCGTGTTAGAGAGTCTTGGGCTTTAGGTACGATCGCCGGATCATCGACGCGGACATCATCCTGAACTATTTTCGTGATCCAAAACACTGTCCAAGCTTGAGGAGCCTTTTCTAGTCTCGCGATGGTGAACATTTCTACGTCGAAATTTTTGTATATCGATTGTATATTAGTAATATAAGCATAGTGATAACCCAATAATGTACTTGGACACTTGCTACGGAAACGCAACGTTAATTCTTAAATAATGTCGATACGTTTTCGTATAATACTTATATTATATTTATAAAAGATTTCTCCAAGCTTTTCGTGAAAGGATAGATGTTTGTGTACCTATTGCTCCAATTATTAAATGGCTTCTGGAAACGTGAAATAATGATTTGACAGAGAATGTACTTTGTGGTTGAATAATGCTACATAACTGTAGAAGAGAGAGGATTTAGTTTCCTTTCTCTTCTTTTACAGAGTTTCAAGTAAATAGAATCTAAACATATTGTACCTAAATATACTACATCTCCTTACTACAGTGTTTCATACTCATTGTCAATTGAATATAGTTTCTCTCTGTTAGCTTCAGTAATATGAGAGCTCTTGTTGTTAGTTGGATAAAAAGCTCCCCTCTTGGACAGCGTTGTTACCAAAGACAACAAAGGGCTGGTTATCACCGTATCTCCGCGATCGTATCTAAAGAGTAGCGGCTCTCTTTGCGAATTATTACCTTTTACCTTGAATGTGGTAGAGGCACGGCGGTAATAAAACAGCAATGATGCCGATGGACGGGACAGCAGTCATGAATCTGGCTATATCCCTTTCTCCTGGCCGCGCATCCAACCGACACTGTTCTCGTTTAACATCAGAAACAGGTACAATCAAACGTACTAACGCCTAACTGACGCATCGCGGGGAAGGAGCGAAAAAGTCGAGCAAAAATCGAGCAAAAATTCCGCAATCTATCGTTTGTTACAATATTCTTTTCCCGTTCGCGTTGCACGTGCTTATTGCTTATTCGTATGTGCTTTTTGACCTGACCTCCCTCTCTCTCGTGGCACTGAGTTGCGTAACGCACATTCGACATTCGAATGTTCGCGATGTTTCATCGACAGTTGGTCAAAAGTTGTAACATGTAACAGACACGGACTTTTTGATCGAGTCAAATACTCGTTACGTGGTATTTACGGTTGTTTTTCCATTTCGATAAATACCAGATGGTAGATTTCTGGTGCACAATTAAATTTAAGATGCCGAATATATGAAAACGTGTAGAAAATTATTTAATACACCAATTAAATCTCAACGATGAGAAAATATGTGCCGACAGTAACGATATATCTTTTCTACGGCAAATGAAAATTAAAAAATCCGTTCTAAAATGCAAAAAAAAAAAAAAAAGAAAAAAAACGCAGTTTCTGGTTCCTACTCGGTCGGATCATCTGCAACTTCTCAAAAATTTTAACGAAAAATCCGTTTCTCAAGATCTATCGAAATTGAAATTGTCTCTTTCGTTGAGACCGCGGAAAACGGATTGCGCAACGTTGCGCTGCTCCCTCCCCGAAGTGCGCAGATTCTCTCAAGAGCCGCAAGAGAAACACTTCGCATGTTCGTCCGTTGTTCCGTCCATCCGTCCATGAACAGAACCAAAGCTACAAGAGAGAGATACAGAGAGAGAGGGCGAGAGAAAAACCCGCGTCTAGAGTCATGCGATAGCAAGGGAACAAAAGTAAAACAACTCTCTTTCGAGAGAATTCACTGCCATTAACAGAGGTATAATAATATTAAAAAAAAAGAGAGAGAGAGAGAAACGAAGAAGGAGAGAGAAGAGAGTTGAAAAAAAGAGTAGAGGAGAGCCGGAGGAAAACCGACTCGCTACCAGTCTCCTGTATGGCTCTCCTCTATCAACTAACCATTCACGTTGATTAATGGAGGACCAAACATGTAGTGGCCAGGGTACATGTAAGGCTGAGGAACCGCTGGTATCACGTGAGAAACGTGTACCGGTTGCTGCATCAGCATCGGTTCGAAGTAGGGACCACCGTTCATCCCGTTCTCCAAAGGCTGTTCCTCCGTTTGTTGTTCATCCCCGTATTGCTCCTCTATTTGCTCCTCCATTTGTTCATCGGCCTGCTGTTCGTCCTTCGCGTTGGTAAATTCTATCGGTTGCTCCTCCGTCTCTTCGGCTACGCTACCGCTGCAACTTGTGCTTCCCGTTCCGCTCTCGTTGCAAATTCCGTTGGAAGTCTCCGTTGGTAGAACCGTGTCTTCTTGCTCCTCTATCACCGTGTTCTCCTCTATGCTTTGGTTGCTCTACGAAAAGAGATTTGGGATGGATTAGATTATTCGCTTCTTCTTTATAATTTGTCTCTGTTTGGACAACGAGAAGAGAAACGAGTTTACAACTCGATTGACAATGCATTTACAAACTTAATGTACTTGTGCACACGAAGATAGAGAAAGGTTGCTTACTACTACTATTTCCGACTGAAATTTGCTAGAAAACTGTACGAATATTTCTGTAGAGAAGCTGATTGGAGCTTGGGGTAATATGGACAGACGAGACTAATCATCCTTTCTGTTGTTATTAACAATCGTATTAGGAAGATGGATCGATTGGATCGATTTTGCAAATCCATAGTCTCTGTACCTCGTAGTTCATCATGCAGTACGGTTGGCCAGGCATTTTGGGTACGAAAGTCGGATTAATCCACTCTATCGGCCTAAGAGGAACAGGTGCGCAAGGCACGGCCGCCAAAACGCTCGGTGCAATCTGCGCTGGCATCGGCGCAGGACCGACCAACATCACAGGATAGTCGTAATAGTAACCACCCACGTGGTCGTAAAACGTCCCATATCCTAACTGTGCGTTGGAGTCCATCATTGGCGGATACTCGCCGGTACCGCAGTCCCTGTCCAGCAGTTGTTGATCCTCGGTCGTCTCACTGCCATCTGCAATTCACGATGAAACGAGGATAAAACGAGGATACAGTCGAGGATACAGCTTAGAAAGCTTAACATTCATAACATGATGCATCAAGACGTTAAGATGACAGATTTGAAAAAAGTTAGGCACTGACAAAAGTGGCTGCAAAGCACAAATTATCCTAGGATAGGGTAATGCACCTGAATGCAGAAGATCATTACCTTTTGTCTCGAGGAAATCAAGTTTGAGAATTCTTAGAGAGGAATTAGTATTTGCGCAAGGTTTAAAGATTTTGTAGATACGACACTACGGTGGTGACTACGTCCAATATAAATTGGTCAACATAGTAACTGACGGTCAAACATCTTTCCACAATTTGCGTGGGTGTGCACCACCACCCACTAGAAACGCAGTACATCTCGACATATTTGTGAATTCTGCAAAATTCAGCGCTTGCACTTCACAGAGGTATCCATTTTAGACCGACATCGCTCACTGCTGCGTTATTAATAAGAAAAATACTATTTGCCATACAAAAATTTCTCCTTTTGACAAGGTAAACGATTAAATCGGTCTTTCAATCGGTCATCGTTGCTCGCCTGTTTTTTTTCTATAATGATGCCAGTTTGCTGATAACGAATGACTTGAAATAAAATAAAGAAAAAAAAAAAAAAATCACGGTAAAATTTCGCTAAATTCAAATATGTATGTACGTGACGTGCGTGCTGTGGTGTCGATTTCACGAGATCGCCAAGAATAACACCGTTAAATAAATATAGGTTAACACGTGTACATATAAAGAATCAACATTACAACTCCCCGATATCCCCAAAACCCTTGCCCCCATTGATTCTCACAACGAGAATTCACCGACAGGAGGATTTTTCGCCAAAACTTTTCGATCTCTACAAAATCCATCAAATCCATCGTCGACCAGAACAAAGAAAGGGGGTATTATACCAGCCGATGCTCTAGTTGTCTCTCGCCCAACGCTCTTCAAACAAGATACAATAGAGTAATGATGGCGAACCTATGATCCGCGGATCAAACGCTGACCCACGCGTTGATTTTTATAAACTTGTCATCATATATATAAAAGAATTTTAATTATTTCTCGAACCCCTCTTTTCAAAAAATGTTAAGAAAGTTACAAGTGTTCGGTTAGAGCTTAAACGTGAGAAATAAATGCATAATTGTGTTTTATGGAGGACTTACGGCTTGGTTATGTATACATATAGGTATTTTAAGTCTTAAATGTTATATGAGTTACTTGTGTCCGAAAAATTTTATACAGCGCTTACGATTAAACAAATGTAATAAACACTAAAAAACACACTAGATCCCATTCTCAGAATGGGTAGCTTTGCTAGTTTTTTTTATATAATAAAAGAGAGAACAGACAATAAAAAATATTGAGAAACAAAGTATATATAATCTAACGTATAGTGCAGGGGTGACGGGGCATGACGTCACCCCTTTTATATCAATCTTTCGACGTCGACATTTATTTCCTGCTCTTCGCTTGCAAAAGTAACAGTTGTAAAACAAAAAGGGAACGTAAACTTTTTAGAGGATTATAAAAGTGAGAACCAAAAGAAAGTAGTTTTCTCCCCCTTTCCAAGTGACGCCACTGACTTAGTGACCGACGAGTTAGTAGTAAAAAAAAAAAATAATGAACAAAATTTGACCTACTTCTCAAAAAAGGTTCGCCGTCACTGCAATACAGAGTAACGGAGATAGTCGTACAAACTTCAAGGGAAGGTGTGTAACTTTCTTAAGCAACTTCCCGAAAACGACGTGACGATGAGGAAGACGGACGAGACAAGCGAGTGAAACTCGGATGAACTGCATCACGTTTTTTTCTACCTATACCTCTACCTGCGGTGGAATGCGACGCCGATTGGCTCTCGGTGGTCGAAGACGTCGCGCTGGTGTTGGTGTTCCCGGCCCACGGCTTCTTCTTCGACAGGTAGCCCTTTTTGAACAGCATGTCCTGCCTGGGCGTCGTGATCCTCGTGTACTCGTCCTCGTTGAAAATGATCTTCGGTTGGGACGGCGAGCCGGACGACTCGTCCTTGTGACGCGCCGCGCCACCAGCGTATGCGCCGCCATCGCTACTTCCGGTCCTACGCGGCTTGTAACCGCCAGTCTGCCCGTTCCGGTTAAAGCTGTGCGTGCTCGTGTCATTCTCCTGCCCCTTCACGAACCCGTTTCGCAATCCTTCTTCTTCGTCCTCTTCGCCGGGTGGAGCTGCAAACGAAATGCAGAGGATACGGTTGGTTAAGTTTAGGTTTCTTAGTCTTTCCTTTCAACTGGGAAAATCAGACAAATGATTGACGACGAGATTTATTTCATCTATTATATATATTTGTAAATCTTCTCTCCTCTTACTCTCTTATTTTTTTTTTCTTCTCGATCAAATAGATAAGAAATGGCTCGTGAATGTTATTTTCCTACTCTCTTTCAATATTCGAGCATAAATTCTTGCACTGATTAATCAGTGCGATGTAATTAAATCCGTGATTAAACTTGATGTCGTTATATACGCATGCGTGTAACGCGTTCTGATAGAACCAGAAATGTTTCTCGATGAAAGTTTATTGTTCTCGTTGACTCTGACACAAGCGTAAGAGTGATAGGAGTGATTTCTTTCCCGAGCAGAAAGAACACCACGACTCGAGTTACAGAGGAATTTGTCACCCGAGCGAGTGGTGTTCGCTATCCACAAACAAATCATTTTATTTGATACGTTCAATGATAAGTTTCGAAGAAATCCCATTCAATATTCTTCGACTAGATAATCGAGATAATCTACACCGGTGTTTGAAAAGTTTGGCTCAACGAAATCAATCATAATCTACGTTGCAGACAAATACATATAAGCAAATTTTAAATTTAATTTCCTCTACTATACCAGGTTTAAAAAAATCTGAAAAAATTGTTACAATCACTATCAATTTCTCTACCGTATATTACGTAACAATTCCAAAATTTTATATCCAAACCCAATTTCTTTGCTGTGCCAGGCTTATTAAGATGGCTTAAAGAATTTTACAATTATTATTCATTTCTTTACCACGTTGTATAATTATTAAAGTTCTAATGAGTAGCAATCAATCACTAGGCGAGTATTGTACTTGATATTATTCTCGGTTAAAAGATTGTTAACTTAAAAATAAAACGTGATATTTATAAACGGCTAACAACATAGCCTATGTTCACGATACGAGGTATGTTTCTTACATCACCTTCTCATTCTCCTGCTCTACTGTTCTGAAACAGTTTATACACACACGGTACGTTGAGATTCGAGAAATTGATTTTTCACTCGATTTAATTGAAATTAACTATCGCTATAAGAAGTTTACAGTAAAATAAGAATTAATTTATTAGCTTCAAACTTTTCGGTTTAGTGTAATACTCTTCGACGGTCTCATTTCATTCTTTATTATTTCAAAGTCTATTGTAATAACACATTCTCTCTCTCATATTGATCATGTGAATTATCGAGGAATTATCATGTTTGCTAGTAGAAGAATGCTATTTTTTCGCCGATGTAATCAGTAAAATTTTTAGAATATTTAAGCTCGAGTGATCTGATACAGTGGAAAGATAAACAAGGTAAAAGAAAACTGGCATTGTGTATGTTTCTGTGATAGTGACAAGCATAATTAACTCCTTGACGACCGGAAGATTATCATTAAAATTAGACACAGCATTATATAATTATTATGACGGCTCGCAACGTGCTACAAAAAAAATATATGGGTGTATATACGAACTAAAATCGTTCGCTTCAGAGGAAGTGTTCTTTTCTTAATTTTAACTTGTCTAACACTTATCCTATCCTGTTGCAAGTATTGGAAAATTCTCTAGTAGCTATAAATAACTGAATGACAATTTTGTAGTTATCGATAATTGAAAGAACAGACATTGAGACGTCATGTTGATGACAGTAAATTAAACTTAATGAATAAATCATGAGACTTCACGTTAAAAATCGAATTCAACGCTAATGCTATTCTCTCTTGTACACACGTTACGAGATTATGTTAAGGACCAAATAAAACAGACCAAAAAAAAATTGATTTCTGAAGAAATTTACAGCAACTATTCCATTTGGTATGAACTTGATTTATCAGCGACGTTTAGACGTGTGATTAGTCTGAACGTGAACTCCTACTGTTTGAATGAGAAATTGTAGATCAGTAAGAAGAAGAATCAATGAATTTCCATTATAAGGGACTTAAGTAGAGATGATCCAGATATTTCTCAATGTCCTTGCTAAAGAAGTAACGAACCAATGCTCCTTTACTTTACGATCAATCAATTAAAGAAGATCACCACTCTGATTTGTCTCTGAGGGACGATAATCTTTTCGTTCGATTTATTCCTATTGTCGTTAGGATTTGCTTCTCATCAATGAGAGATTGAAAACGAAAGGAGACTGTTCTAATAAATAATTTTACAGATTACTGACGCGCAATTCAAATAAAAATAATTTCAGTAATTTTTATACATTTTAAATATTTCACATTCTACTTAAGAAGCTTCGACTCGTTTTTTTTTAGAATTACCCGGTGACGATTATAACCATTATAAATTCAAATAAGTGGATTTTTATCGCATTATAAACACTATCGCTGTAAGCACATGCCAGAGCTGTTAGATAAAATAAAAGAACACTTGCATAAGATCGTATTTCTATCTGACGACATGTAAGGTTCATTCGAGATACTGAGGTCATAGTCAAGAAGTTAAAAAAAGGAGCAAAAAAAGAAAAAAGGGAAAAATCAACCGTTAAAGGTTTACACACGCGCCCAATTTTCTAAGATCTAACTTACAATCTACAATCTAATTTCGTCCAAATCAAGCATCCAAAGGTGAACTTCTAAGATGTGAAACGAAGCGTACGCTACTTCCACGAGCTATTTATCTTTGTTACATTGATCATACTAAACCACTAATGTACTCCTACATTGTGTCATCTTGCTCTATTTCACTAGCTAACAAAATTCATTTCTATCTACTCTATGACATTAATTCTAGAAAATCGTGACTGGTCATGGGTCAAACGAAGCGTGCGCAATCTTCACTCAACTAAAAACCATTTGCAATGCATTTATGGCACCGTAAAACAGGGGCGTGACAGCGACGTGAACGTAAATAGAATTTTAGATAAGAATAAATTTGTTAAAATGTTAATTTCGCGTCTTGTCGAGCACGTTACCATCGGCAATTACTCTAATTTTCAAAGGGAATAAAAGTGAGAAATTTGCACATAAGGCAATTCAATTACAAATAAAATGTTGTTGAAAGATAGAATTTTACTTTCGAGAGGTGTTTCAGGTTCGACATTAAATTCATTGTTTCCAAATTCTTGAAAATATTTTTCTTTGCCCCTTTGATAACACTACGCTTCCTTTCGATGAGAAATAAATCAGTATAAAGCAACATAGCGTCAAAACGATTAGCTCAAGACTCGGATTTTAAAATATTCGAACCAGCAGCAACAAGATACCCTCGTACGAGATACCCTTCCCATAAAAGTACTTCGATTCACCCCGTTTCACGGTGCACATAAATATTCCTTCTTCCTCGAAGGGAAGAAGGGATAAAAAAAAAAAAAAAACAAAAAATAGATCAGGGCCCTCTTACACAATGAGTTACCAACTAACAACAACAGGTGAATCGACAAGTGGCAGGTTTGTTGCACAAAAACAAAATACGATACTAGCTTGTACGTTGTCGAAATTTCACGAACAAAAATCGTACAAAAGAGGACAAGAGGGCCTGGAAAATAATCAAAAGAAGCGTCAGAGATAGCTCTCCGCTAGGGACCATGATCAGCCTCTTCGACAGGATTTCCGTACCGTCTTGGTACCTCGCTAAAAGTAGAACGTGATTCGAGGAGCCGATCACGTGGATAACCCTCCGTTGCCGGCGCCACTGCATTTCTCCGCACCCTCTATGTCACACACGTTGGCCGCCTTCCTCGCGAAATTCTCCTCCCTTTTCTTTATTTTCTTTTTTTCACCCTTCCTCTCTCCAAGTGTACATACACCACCAGCCAGTCAGTCACCCCAGTCTTTCACTTCGATTTCACACTCCTTTCCCCTTTCCCCTCCTCTCAACGACAAAGAAACAAAAAAGGAGAGAGAAAGAGAGAGAGAGAGAATGACAAAATTGAAGACTCTCTCTGCCTTTGCTTTTCGTCCTTTTCGTCCTTTCAACGTTTACGCTGCGCGATTCGCTGCAACAGACTCCGCGAAACTTGTACACTCGCGCCGGCCAAAAAGCTCGGAGCCACCTCAACGTGTCGGAACACTTTCGACAAAACAGTTTTCGAAAAGAGCTGGAATTCAGAGTAGAAGGCTAAACCGGTATATTTTTAACCCTCGACGACGCTTCACCGGCGCCGCTTTGGCGACATTGACGAAGCGCAAGTTGCCGTTTAATTCCTCTTCTCACCAACGGTGCTTCTAAAATTTCGAGAAACAGCCTCGCAGCAGACGTGAAGGAGGCACCGGGACTATCAAATTTGTGAAAGTGGTTCCAGAGTTTTGACCTACGGCGTGTACACTACGTGTAGATTGATCGTTATTTACAAAGCACGGCCGTTGCAAACGATGGCTAAAATGGCCAAAGGATGTTGATCGAACTTGTCAAATTTAACGTACATCGCGAACAAAGCGTCAGATTCAATTCTGAGCGTTAACCACTTGCGCTGGAATGACGTGCCACGCACGTCGACAATTTTCCCAAAATTGTAAAAACAGAATAGGCAAAGCAAGTAATAAATCTATTACTTCTCAATAATTTCTTAATCCAGCGATATCGCGACGACGAGTTCGGAAAGAAAGCGGCGAATTATCGTGTATCGGTTTCGGTCACTCGTTATGGTCCGCAATCAGTTGCTAGCGCAAGTGATTAATCGTCGCTCTCCCTGACTTTGTTTGTTATCGTTGCTCGTAACGATCGAGCATCATAACAAATAATACATCCACGTTGTTATCACTCTCAGACTTGGTGTTCGTGTATATATATATATATATATGTATAATACATATATCGTAGCAGCGTCGATCCCCACAAAACGAAAAAAACGAATTTTACAGCACGTGGCCAGCAAAGTCAAGTCCACCGGTGGATGAGAGCGGGTTGCTGCTCGGTGTGATCGCGTCGCAGCGTAAAGGTCTTAAGGGCGCATCTGCACGGATAGACAACCCCCTCCTCCCCTCGGAGTTGGAATTTCTCCGGCGTGCTTCTCCCTATCGGTCGGTTTAGAAACGCGGGTTTCGAAACGCGAACGGCCACTGATAAAACGCGCCAAATAAGGAGGATCCGGCTAAATAATCTGGTGCACGCGATGCCTCGAGAACGACTGCGGTTGACACGAGGAACAGGGGGTGCGGAGGGATCGGGTGGGAGAGAAACTAGAGAGAAACTAGAGAGAGAGAGAGAGAGAGAGAGAATGGTTTACTAGCTGGCGGACGTAGCTCATTGGCCGGCGGTCGTGGACTAGAATAGCAGCAGAATTAGAATAGAAAACGGGCGAGAACCAGCGATGTTCACCATCGGCGTTGCTAATCGTGCCGTTGAAGATCAATCCTCTCTTCGTCTCCGTCTCTCCCTCCGCGACTCGGTGAATCGTCAGGGCGACAAGGGTGGATTGTTCGTACAGAAATCTGTAATGAACGTGGATTTTCTAAGTTGGGAAACTCCAATGATTTTCAAGATTCCGGTTTTCGGAGATGAATCGCGTTTATTTTTGGCGTTTCTCTGTCTAAAAGGGTACACCATTTATCTCGAATCGACTATCAAAACATTGAGCAACACAGGACGAGGACGAGTTAATCTCTCGCTCGAGTTGTTACTACTCGCTTCATTTCTTCGATCTCGCTGTGTTTTTCAAAAGCAGGAAGGAAGATTACACTCGAAAATCACACGAACGTGAACGTGACCAGTCAATTTCAAGACTCAACACGCGCTATCGGCCAGTTGCCAGTTCGCGTGTGAGTAAAAAAAAACCCTTGCTTCAAAATTGTGGTAATCGTCGGCTCAGATAATGAGCGGAGTGTTTCTGTTGCTACACTATTTCATAAGATTTATCTCTCTCTCTCTCTCTCTGTTGCAACAGCTAGAAAAAATGGAAAACAATTTCCAACAATGATGTTAACGAAGAATTTTCAGTCCTTATTCCCGACTCCATTTTTTTTTTTTTTTTTTTTTTTTTTTTTTTTTTTTTTTTTTTTGAGCTTCGAGAGAGAAACGTTTTCAACGCTTATTGAGAAAATTATCAGCGTATCATTTGAAACGCGGCGTACACTTTTGACTATTTATAGCTTCTGTCCTTCGGGAAAATTGAGGAAATAATACCTCGTTTAGTCTAACGAAGTCCTCCTCTGAAACTACCAAACACCATTTAATCCCACGAATTGATCTTCCCAAATTAACGTCCTCTCCCCCCCCCCCCCCCCAAAGTAATTACAAAATAGAAGAAGCGGCCTATTTCCACGATGCAAGAGAGATATGCACCGCGCTGTTTCGTAATTTCTGATTCTACGTAGCGTAGTAGCGTAAAGCCCGGCCACCTCGGTGTTAATCAGATTTGAAGGTTCAACGTACCTCGGGGTCGGTGGGAGTATTTTAAGTAACAAATAGAAAGCACCTCGAAGCGCCTCGTTTCATCCACTTATACACATTGTAGTAACCGTCCTCTCGCATGCTTAACAATCGTTGCAAACTGAATTAAAAGATCGGCGAGAGGTAACGGGGTTAAGGATGGAACCGAAGAGAGAAACAGAGAGAATCATTGAACAACAGCTGACAGAAAAACTGGGAATCGCCTCTAGGATGAGCTAGAGAACTGAACGTTCGCACAATCGTCAACGAGTCGTCGTCGGTGAAATAAAAAGAAAAACGAACGCAAAGCAGGGAAGTAAACGACGCTTGATAAATTCACGACGACCGACAGTTCGAACGAGCGACTCGATTAATCGAAAGGAATATTGTTCAAATGAATTTGCCTTTCCTCGTTCAACAGGTCCAAACAACGAGTTGCAAAGTGTTTTGCAAAGCGTTTAGCACGAGAGATTTTCCAAGTGGTTCTCAGCTCTTGGCACATTTATACGTGGCTCTCATCATTGACTCAAACTAAAACAAACCAAGTCAAGAGACTACACGGGCCCAAGTGATTACAATGTTATCAACGATTGATCGCTAAACAGACAAATATGTCAAAAACAATAGATTTCTCGCGAGTAAAAATATAGCTGCGAATTTCGGAAATTTATGTATAGCGCAGTCTTGGATTCAGATGCCAAGTAGGTTGTTGTTGACGCGTTATGTAAAACATCCTTGCATTTGTCATCCGTTTGACAAATCCCCCGAGTTTATTAACCGTAGTATGTCAAGTGGACGCGCGATCGGACTGTACATTATGATTTAATTTAATAAATAAGTTTGTGTTTAAGCCACGTCGCGGAACAATCATAAATTCGATAGTAACGATCCATTTCTGTCGCTTCAACCTTCTTTAACGCGCCACCGCACGAGTTAATTACGTAAGTATTATACATGAATTGACAGAGACTTAATTTCTGGAAACTCGATTCTTGATATTCACTTGTTCAAAGTATCTAAAGTTGAAAAAAGTAAGCTGCATCCGTCAAGGATATTTTATCGAACGACTAATTCAATGGCAACGCAATTCTCTCGTGAAAAAAATATTCGAACGCATAACAGCAACACACGTAATTTCAGATCGGGGATGGACACTATAATTATCCACAACAACTAAATGATTCCTTTTAATACTAATTTTTGCTTACGAGAACTACGAAATTTAGTATTTTGGACGGAATTTTCTATCGCTTCCACCGTGTGATTTTCACAACGAAGCAATTTTAATCGACGATCAAAAATAAAAGCGACTGAAACACAATCGGCGATTGAAACGTCAGGCGTAGAAAGATCAGGAACGAAAAGATAACACCTCGAGGCGCTGCAATTATAACGTCGTTACTAAATGACACTAATCTCTCTCGCGGCTCTCGCTCCAAACCGCGATCTTCGATCAACTACGCAGACTCTCGAAGGATCCGCGGTTGCTTCCGCTTTTTATTATTTAGCGGCGCACTCGGATGCTTCCTTTTCTTTCGAAATTCGAAACGTTTTATCGAAGCAAATTCTGCACCCTCGAAACGCGACGCTTCAAACTGTAAATCGCGAATATTTAATTTTCAATTCGTATATCCAATTCTTCTATCACTTTTTATCAATTTAAATAATCCGCGAATATTTAATTTATTTCTGCGTGTGTCGGCCGAGGAAACAGGACCTTTCGCCAATTGTCAATTCAGCTGTTACTCGCAAACTGTCTACAGCACGAACGAGTAGCGTACAACCAATTCTAACCAATTCTCGTGAATTTTTTAACTCCCCCAGCGAACTTCAGCGCTTCGAGAAAGTCCATAAGTGTCTTATAACTGGATCGCGGATTTTCACGCGTTTGCGGAAAATTAGACATTGCGAAAATACCACAATACCACACGATGTTACCGTTGTTCCTAAACGAAGCAAAATCTTCGAAATCAATCGTCAATATTTGAACGAGTCGAGTCATTCGATCGTGCAACGAGGAATATAAAAACCATCGTTTGACTCAACGAACAAGCAAATTAGCCGGCGATATGTGATCGTCATTGTGTATTAGTGCCTGTATTAGTGCCACCGAGTAACGATCGCATTGTTTAAAACACACGCGAAGAATGTTATTGACAGTTAACAACGATTGTTCGAGCACGCGGGAGAATTGTGCAAATAGGTCAATTATCGGAGTGAACGAATGGCGAGGCCTCGATATCCGTGCAAATAAAGTTGCAAAAGAGAGAACACACCGATAGGGGAATCGATGAGCCAAGCGCCGAAGGTCGAACGAGCCATGCCAAAAAATTACTATATTCAGGGATGAACAGGAGGATTGACCGCGTCGTGCATTCCGCGGCTTCTTCGTTTTCACGCGTACGCACTTGGAACCCGCCCCGTTGGTTCATTCGCGAACACCTTTTCCTATTTATAGATTATTTATCGATCATTTATTCGAACGGTTTCGCAAGTTTCCTTCCTTTTTATCGGACCTTGTTTCATTCTGTTCCCTTGGTCGAAAGAACAGTTTTAAATTTTCGATTCGCGATATCTTCTTAATCTCGACAATACTTCAACACACGTTCTTAACATTTGAAATCTTAACATGTTATTCATAAAATTATATTATATTATATTATATTATTCGTAAAAATGTTTAATATATGTTTAATACACGTTTCAATAATTGTAAAAATTGACACAAGTTTCACAAGTCCCTCCTTCCAGTCGAAAGACAGTTTCTATCTAAATTTCATTCACGATAAATCTTCTAATGAAATACTTCAACACACGTTTTTAACATTTAAAAACATTCATAAAAAT